GGGTTCCACCTGACTATAGGTTTTTATATCTTCTTGTTAAATCTACAGAGATTTTCTTCTGTGACACTAGAGAGGGAAGTCTAAAGTTGATGTAGCAGCAGCTGACTCCAACTACAGATTAAGGATCTCATTGCACAGCCTGGTCAAGGGAGTCAAGCTAGACTGAGCTTTGGACAGCCTGATTCTAAATATCTGTTGGATTTTTTAGCCTCTGTTGGGTACTCTGTAGTCTCACAGCTTTGAATGGTGATTGCCAGAATCATTTAGGATTTACTAGGATCTTCTTCCCTCTTTGCCCCATGAAAAGTTTTTATTGGTGTGCTAAATCTTTCACCTCAGTAACTAATATGACCAATCCCACTCAACTTGCTCAGACAAATTTTCAGGAACTCAGCCACCACTGGGCCCAGCTTCTCAAGCTGGATGAAAACCTTTGAGTGAGGACATGTTACCAGTGACCTCTCAGAGCGCAAATGTTTGTGGCTGTGCTTAAACAGAATCAAGATTGACACAGTGGGTCTAATCTTTCTGTGATTAAGACATGAAGTGAAAAACATGCAGTAGGCGACATGATTATTTTTTAGCCACTTCAATTCAATTACACTTGTATGGATTAATGAGGATGGAATGGACATTTCATGCTACAGCTACAATGATACACATCTGGGAACTTGCATACCACTTTCTTCTGTGTCCCTTCAAGAATTAAAATGACAAAACCGGAATAAATAGCTCAGCTTGTTATTTTGCTGAACTACAGGACTGCTAAATATTTATAAGACATAATGAAGTCCTGGTTTTGAGCTAATATTTTCCCTCTAGAACAGATTTCTCCAGTGGCTGTCAAACATCTTCACATTAGCTGTTGCCAAATGTGAGTTTAACAGCCCATCTATAGCTGGGAAAATAAGATGAAAGTTGGCCACATGATGTTGAGTAAACAAACAGTCCCTTTTGCCTCTGAGAAATACTTTCCGCTACACCAGGGAGGCCAGAGGATAACTCAGTATCACTAAATGGTCACTGTTTTCCAGACTATCCACAAAAGATTCAGCCTTTGAGAACTTGGCTGGCCTATTCTTGTTGCAAGATTTCCAAGGCCACCAGTATGTTCATCAGTGCACATCAGTCACGATGAGTTCATTCCTCTTTGGTTGGCACAACCAACACCAGCACTGTGGTGTAATTCCAGGGCATCTCTTGTAGACATCTGATAGCAGGAAACCAAAAGATCTTAGGCTGTTTAAGTCTGACAAGATTCATAGAAAGTTGCCTAAAGGATCTGGTCTGCATTTAAATAATGATTTTAAATAATACACATTTAAGATCTGTTCTAGCGCAGCTGCAAACCTGATCTTGTAATACACCAGTTACAAGTTTCTCCCTCTATGAGGGTATGACAAACCCTGAAGGTTTACAGTCCTATGTGTATCCCTATCCACAAAAAAAATGAAACAAAAGTTTCACAGATTCTCTGAGAGACAGCATTGGGAAAACCTCTGAGAAGATGTAACAAGCTGGCACAAGAATAGTAAAGTCTCTGGCTGAGGTAACAGCAAGAGCAGGAACATCCACAATTTTAGGCAAAGTCTGCAGGTTATAAATAAACAAATATCTGTCTCAGGAGAGAGATGGGGAAGAAGAGGATAGGTATGATAGCCTAAAAGACAAACATGCTGGTCCACTGCTTTAACCCAAAGCCTTGTTATCCTTCTACTGCTCACTCCAGTACATTTTAGGCCCTTCCCTCTCACACCTTTTCTGGTGCAATTCCTATGTCAAAGGTTTCTAAAGATCTTTAGAAGCTGCCAAAAAGCAGAAAAGCATTCCCATATCTACATTAGGAAGTAGCTTGTTTCCTACACTGGCAGTGAGGAACATACTGCAAGGTACAAATGAAGACATGGGAATAACTTGACAACTAGAAGAGGAGAACTGAAGGGAGACCTCATCACTGTCTACAACTTCATCATGAGGGGAAGAGGAGGCACTGAGCTCTTCTCCGTGGGGACCAGGGACAGCACCCGAGGGAATGTTCTGAAGTTGTGTCAGGGGAGGTTTAGGTTGGATCTCAGGGAAAGGTTCTTCCCCCAGAGGGTGGTTGGGCACTGCCCAGGCTCCCCAGGGCAGTGGGCACAGCCCCAAGGCTGACAGAGCTCAAGAAGCATTTGGACAATACTCTCAAGCACATGGTGTGACTCTTGGGGTGTCCTGTGCAGGGCCAAAAGTTAAACTAAATAATCCTTGTGGGTCCCTTCCAACAGAATATTCTGTGATTCTCTGAATTAAAGGGGAAAGATACTTTATATTCATCAACACTACCTGCTGAAGTGTGTAGCAGTCAGGGAAGCCCTTCCAAAGTATTTAAACGTTCCCGATGTTTGAACAGGACAGTAAACTTTGCGAACTCTGGGGTGTAGGTGTGTGCACAGGGGGTGTCCCGGCTCAGCCCATCCCGGCGCACACGGCGGTGGCACGGCCCCGCATTTCACAGGGGCCAGAGCCACCTGCTGGTGCCACACGGCTTGTCAGGCCCGGGCACCGCAGGGGACAGGGAGAGAAATGCTCAGAGTGACTGCTCCCCACTGCTGGGACAGCCCGGTGACAGCCCTGAGCCGGCCTCTTTTCTTCCATCATGGTATAAAGGCAGAGAGAGCGATGTCTCCGTGCTCTGGTGGCAGCAGCTGGTGAGCAGAAGGTAACGAGCACAGCAGACTCAGCATTAAAACTAAACTCTTCTCCCAGCACTCCTGGTATGGTCTAGCTGGGAACAAACGGGCAGCCTCACCTAAGGCAGTAAGTCTGTGCCCAGCTAAGCTCTTGTCCCCAGGTACTGGGGAGGTGCATGACAGAAGTCTCCCAGCTGTGCATGGCACCTTTTGGGCTGGGGTCCTGACAGTCATCACATACCTGAAGAACTAGAGAGGCTTACAAAATACTCTGTTCCCCACAGTCTCTGCAGCAGTCCCTGCATGAGGTGACCAGGTGCAGACTTTAACAGTGAGAAATTTATCCATATTTTCAACAAGGAGGTATATAGTACCACTACATATTGCACAGCACTTTCATATCCAGTGTCTTTTATGACTAAGCATAAACTGGGATCATTAATATAAGCCGTTGCAGCCTTGGAGTTAAAAAACTTAAAATCAGATTAAATTAAGTCATCATTTAATTTTATATTTGTTTTACATGATCTACAGCTCTGTACAAAAGCAACAGGTATCACAACAAATCTGTGTAAGAATCAAAGATTCTGCATTCTGCTGCACTACTGCTGCCTCAGGGACACAGCCAATCCTGAAACTGATCCATCAGCTTCAGAGTATTACTCCAGTAATTTGCAGTTTTCTTCTCAGCCACATCCCACCACAGGAAGGACAGGTGCACACATTCATCATGCCCAAAATGCTTCAAATGAAGTCCACACGCAGCAGCTAAAAGAGATGGCTGTGGCAGAGGAATCTCTGCTTCCTCTCTCCACCGTTTTACTCCCACATGAACATGGTTTTGGTGTTAAAAAAAATGATTCTGCTCCATTTCATTTATTTTGCTACATTTACCCAGAAATTCTTGAAGTCCAGGCTTAGGCCACGGTATGAAGTTCACTTGTACCTAGCTCAGGAATATTGTGTGAATCATAGATGATTCAGTTGCATGCCCCATTTCTAGACAGCATATAAACACCTACAGCACTGCCAGCTGGTCAGTCTACATACATTTACACCCCCTATTCACCTTTAGAAATTCATACATATTTTTTAACTCCCTCAGGTCCCAGTTGGGAACTACCATGAAATTTGTCTCAGCTGTGACTCTGAATTTACTTCTATGACAGCAGTGCTCAGGGATTTCAGCTGATGTCAGAGATGCACCGACAACTTGACAATGATGGGTTTCCATCTGGGATTTCCAAGAAGTAAAGCTGCAGCTTTTTTAATTCAGCCAGGGAGCTGGTCATAAGCATTGGGGCAACACCAGATGCTTGTGACAGCAAGTGATCAAAGCCTTCAGTACTGAGAGAGCAGAGGCAGGGCTCTTGACACTATGATAATAAGTAGTTTGTTTTCCTATTTCCAGATGAAGCCTCATGACTCTGTGCAAGAGTTGTACACAGTGTCAGAAAGCAAACCAGTTTTGCTTGACAGAATATTATGACCATTCAACTCAATGTTATTGTCCCTTGATTAGGTAACTCCAACAGTGTTAAATCAATGGTACAGAGACCTTCTGAGGCAGAAATAGCAGCTTGGCACCCAACTGTGGCTGGCTTTTCCTGGCTAGATTATGAACCGCCAAACAACTCCTCTGCATTCTGTTTTTTTTATTCTACCCCAAAGTGCTGTGATAGAGATATCTGCAGTGTTTGGGCAGGCACTGTCAGATGGAGAATTTAAAAACCTGGCAAGGATACATCTCCCTGTTTAATAATCCATGCAATTTACATTTTAATTCTGAAAAAGCGTCAGTCATTGGAAATGAAGCAGACACGAAACTTCGTGAAAATACGGCATACTTGTTCTTTAAGGGGATTTAAAGTACAGGAAACTTGTATCTCTAGAGGCTCATTTAGTTGCTTTGGTGCCTAATTAGCAACTTGAGAGGAGCCTCACTGTACCCACCGTAGTGCTCTCCAGCAAACAAAGGCAGAGAGCCTGTTTCATCTGCAGAAACCTAATTCAGGAGTGTGATATACATGGCATCATCCCAGGTGAGACTGAGTTATCCTCAGACAACACAGTGCTGCTGCATCAAGCACACCAGCATTGCCATGAGAGATCTCCACTCAAAAGCTGACCACTGCCTTTAAACACCACTCTGGTTATTCACTCAGGGAGAAAACAATCCAGAATATGAAAAGCACATGAAAGGTTCGACTCTAAAGCAGGTTTCTGCCCAGGCATCATAAATAGGTTAGACTGCACACAAAGCTTCCATATGCAATAAACCAAAGCTTAATGCTCTCATAACTCATGCCCAGCTAAGACTGGGGTACACACCAGGAGCGGAGATGCGCCGTTTCCAGCCCACGCAGTCCAGGCCTGTCGGAGTGCTCTGCGAAAATGGGTGCAGTTTCAGTGGCAGGATGTCAAAGGCAACAGCAGATGTGATGGATGGACTTATTCCAGCCTGCAACAGGAGAGGAAAAACAAAGGCAACAAACATTAAACTAGTCCTGTAGGACAAAATATAGCACCTCTTTCCACCTCTGGTACCTGCTCATGTAAGTAAGCAGAACATTAGTAGACGCACATGGATAACTACAGCTAGAGAGGTTAAAAACAGTGAGAAGGCAGGAAAATTGCAAGTAATAAGAACAGGAGAAGTGGATAATCAGATGCTGGATTCATACTTCACATACAACCACACACACCTACATTCACAGAATGTTTCGCTCCTTCCTAAGTGTTTCTAGTGGGATGGAAAAGCACATCAACTCAAGTCATCCCCTCAGCTACAGAACTGTTCCTACAGCTTTATAACAAATAGTTCCTGTTCTGGTATTTTAATATGCAAATAAAGCTTTTCCCTTCAGAGATTTATTGGTACCAGTCCCCAGCCATATAGAATGTGGATAACAACATTCTTCTCTTCAGTTAAAGGTACAAATAAGAACTCTTGCTTTCTCCTCTACCTGGCTGATTGATTTTACAAAACTTACAGAACTTTATAAAACTTTGAAAACTCTTTTGAAAACATTGCCAGATCTGAATGAACTTTAGCTGATTTAAAGGGGAAAATGTATAGATACATACATATAGCTCATGACCTCTGATACAGAATGTAGCACTTCATGCATAATGCAGGGACACTTTTATCCCTTTTTCCTTCTCTCTCTTCTCCCCCATACCTCCTGTGGCTAGCACACAGAGAAAACACCAGTGACTGCAGGTGACTGGGAGATCAGCTGGTCAGTAAGCACTGGTTCCAATAGAGTTTTCATCTCTATTGCCTATGCCCCTTCCTTTTCCTGCTGTGACATTAAGTTACCACATATCCATCCTTCACTGGAGACAAAATTTGGTATCTTGGTTTACTGAGGTCCAGTAGTTTATCTAGGATCTTTCCTTCTCCCTACCAACCCACATGATGCCCCATCAGCATAAAGTCTGCTGACTAGCCTTGATGCTGAAGCCTCCTCTTTAGAAAATGGTCATTAGTCAAAATCTCCTTCCAAAACTAAGCAGAACACAGTGCCCAAGCAGCTGAGAGTGCTGCTGCTCTGTGCCTGGTTTGCTTTTCTTCCCTGGACTTACTTTCCTAAAACAAAGAGAACACGGCCATTTCCTAAAACAAAGAACACAGTCAATACTTTGGCTCAGATCACCATCTCCTGAGGGATAACATGAACCCTGTTCAAATTAACCTGAGCAGTGCCTGTTTTTCTAGAAAAGTCACAGCAAAGCCCCAGTGGGAGCACATGCTCTTCCAGTGACAATGAAATCAAGCGAGACAACTTACTGGGCCACAGCTCTGAAAATGTCAAGGGTAAAGTCGAGGTTATTTACATGAAAGGTGATAGAAAGCATTATTGTTCTGTGTAAGACTAGAAAGCAGAATCCTGTCCTAGGGCTGTTACAATAAAAATTGCAGGCTTCTTATTAATCCCTGGGACATCAGAGCAAACTTCAGGTACATGCATTTTTTGATTTGTACAGCGTGGGAGACAGGCCTGTGCAACACAAAGTTGGGAGAAGCAGCATTTTCAGGGGCATTAGTAATATGTGGGCAGTGTTTTCCACAACCTACAAGGGAGGGGAGGGGAAATGAGGGACCAGAATATAGTACAGATCCTTTTTTTTAGAGGTTCCAGGGGATTATTTCTATGCTCTTATGCACAGCAGTTCAGTCCCTGGCAGAGGCATTTACCCTTGTTGTATGTCTGTGCTTTGTCAGGTGCACAAGAGAGGGAGATTTTTCTCATTAAATCCCCTCTCCAAAGCATGTTCATTACCCTCTTGAAGTGTGTCTGAGGTGCCCACAGTGCTCATAACTGTGGTAGCACCCAGCAAAACTTCATTTTCTCTTATTTTGGATATGGTAAAATCAGATTTCCAGAAGTCATATTCAGGGCAATAAGCTAAAGATCTGCTTTTCACTGCTTCTCATTTCTCTTTCAAAATAAAAGAGAGCTTTTTCTGCACAATTCCCCCTCTGGGTATAGCCCCCTGATGGGCCTTTTAGGAATCTCTCTAATTTGGCAGCACACAAACTGTGCTTGAACAAATGCACATAGAAGCCACGTCTGTGCTCCTATTGCTGTGCACTCAAGAGGTATCAAGCTTAACAGCCAGGGTTTAAGTTTTTGTTGAAACAGGAAAGCACAGGATGGGAACAGGCAGACAATTCAGAGACATCACTACAAATTTTTTGCAAAAATAATTCCCAAAACAGAGCCCATTGCCATTACAGCGTTACATATGTCAGTGGTTTTGGGCATAGTCTCTGCTCCAGTTAGGGAACTTATACTGCATTAGAAACAAGTAAGAGGAGCCCAGGCTACAGCATGAAACCAGCACCATGTAAAGGGCAAAGCCTATGGCCAAGCAGAAGAATGTAGATTCATTCACAGCTATATGAGTTTCTCTTCTTCCCCTTGGGGGGGAGGGTGTTACGTTAAGACTTTAAGGTCCAAGATCAGAACCTGCTCAGCTTGTTACTGGTAGCATCTCATTATAAGGGACAGCTGGGTCAAGCTTTGAGTTTGATTGGGAATTTACACAGGCTGTTCCCATTTAAAGCAGCAGAGCAGCTTACTGGACCTAAGCAAAACAAAGACCATTATATAGAATTGTTTAGGACTGGTATTTTAAGTGGTTATTTTTTTAGTTTGGAGGTAGTTTCTTGATTGTTTGTCCATCTCCCTCTGAATCCCAACTGACAGCCCTCAGATTAGCCTTATATTTCCACTATACTAATCCGTGTACATTGACCTGAATCATAGAGTAGTACCAGAAATCAGCACTTGAAAAAACCAAGAATTCCTCCCTGCTTTGCTCTATTAAGTTGTTTCCCCCATGCAACATTACATCACCTTGTGTGCTGACCTCATCTTGACTTAACACAATGTGACTTGTCACAACAGAAGCCACTCATCCCAAGGCAGCCGTGTGTCAGAAAACATCAGACTTGAAATTTCAGATCTCCAAAGGCCCATACAGTCGCCTTGTCACAGTCACAAAACCACAACAGACAATGAACATCTTACAAAGCTGCTTTTGTGATAATTTGTTTCTTCTTATTAAAGGGGATTTAGCATCCTTCTAAAACTGCCCTCAAACACTGCAGCTTGTGACAGCACTCCCATGACACTTGAGAGCACGAATAAGCCTGCACTATTACAAGACTAGAGCATTGCAATGGCAGAAAACAACAACTGAGAAAAGAAATTGGGTGATTACTATTATAAATTAAAAGTACCGGCCAAGAAATGCAGTTATATGGTCATACAGGAAATAGCCCTTGAATCCCAACAGTTCTCTTAATAAACCAGCATTATGCTTTCTTGGCCTGCCCACAAAGATTAAAGTGTCAATAACCTACATAACACAGACTGACAGAAACATAAACCCCAAATCTACCTACATGCTACTAAATATCTTCTGCTTATCTCTATTATCCGGAGAAGAAGGAACCAGGAAAGGCAGATGATTGATAATGGGGGTGTCTCCATGGGCACAGGGGCAGCTGCAAATCATTGTGCAGCTGATGCTGATTTAGAGGTAAGTTTGCACCAGGAAATAGGGGTGGAAATGCTTAAAGGGGAAGCTGTTTTCTGGCAGCATCCAAATGTGCATTCAGTGAGCAGAGCAGACAGCATTCAAACTGTGTAATCTGATGGCTCCAGGGGAAGCTATTGAGGGACAACTGGTCACTCCTCTCTGAAGCACTAATGGTCTCAGTGCTGGCCAACATGCCCTGCAGCACAGGCTACATTTCCATCGCTATCTGCTTGTCAAGGAATTGTGAGGAATATTTTTAGCATGTTTTACTGATTTCTGTTTATCACTGAGCCTGTGTAAGCCAGGGATTCATTTTCACTACCTTGTATCATCCTGTACAACACTAAGCACTCAGAACTTTGAACAAAATGCAAAAGTAACCCAACTAAATTTTTTTTCACCTTAACATCCACATGCCTCAGGAGCCTTACTCACTATCTCCGACACATTGGTACTATGGAGCTGAGCCAGGGAAGCATCCTCACCGATCTGAGAGCAGGAAACCTCACAGAATCATACCCAGCACCCATCCAAGCAGCAACTGGCAACACTTTGTTCTGAAGAGCCCCACACATACAAAATAGCACAGATTTCTAGTCCTTGTCCCTGGGGAGGGAAGAACAGCTGGCAGTTTTTCAGAAACCCTGTTTCTGGAATTGGCCTGGCTTCCTGTCCCAGGTGTCCATCTGCTTCAATGGGAGACACCCCCAGGCTGGCATGAGGCAGCAGGTTTTCCCTGGGAAAGCTAAGCTATGTCAGGGGAATGTTTCCCCCTCACCATTCACAGAACTATTTGTGCCCATAAGTTCAAACACATTCTGAAGTGGTGACAGGACAACTGGGGCCTCAGCTGCCCTCTAAGATTGTCATTTTAATGCAAGAGCAAGAAGAAACAGGCAACCAGGACAACAGAGAGAAAGGGAAACAAATACAGACAACAGACAAAACCAGAAAACCCCGAGGAAAGCTTTTATTTGAATATCTGCTACTTGATTTCAAGCTTGATCAGAAATTTTTTCCATCTTATCATGAGATACTGCAAGGAGCATCCCTTAATCTCATGTCCTTTCTCCCCAGAAGTTCTTTATTATATATGAAGGCTACTTTTGGCTCTTGGATGCAGATTCATGGCTCTCCCTGAAGGGAACAGACCTTAGCTCTGGACCCAAGAGTAACAGATGCCATCAGTGTGAGTCACAACAGCCACAAAGTTTGTCACAAGCAATCATAAAGCTGATCTAAAAGTCTCCCCCAGTGGAGAGGAGAATATTAATGACTAAAACTCCAATGGCAATGTTCTCTCGAGCATTTCACAGCAGGAATTTGCCTCAGTAAGAATTGTGGAGTTGGCCTCGGATACAAGGGAAATCTTATTTAGAAGTCCCTTATTAAAGTTATACAGCAATGCCACAGGGCACAGAATGAGATTTCATCTGTTTAATTTATATTGATTTAAGGAAACTCTGATTTGCTCCTTGCCCTCCCTATGTCTCAGCTCACAGAGCAACCTGATGCTCTTGCATCCTATTTCCAGCATAGCACAGGGCAAGAACTGTTTGCTTGCAGTGACTAAAAAACCCACCACCTTCAGATACCATCACTTATGGACCAGGTTAGTGTTCCATCAGTCCCTGCAGAGTACCAGGCCCACAGAAAAGCTGACAGAAGTGGCACCAGATAAAGTTCAAGGTCAGGAACATGATGACAGCAGAGAGAAGCAGCTGGAGCAGAGAGGAAGAGAGTGCCAGAGGACGAGGACGACGGTGTACGGCTCCTTACTTTTAACGGGTCCCCTGGGAGATGCTGCGATTGAGCCCCTCTCTCTGGCTGTGTCTCCTTCTCTAGTTTCCTTTTTTGGTTCCTCTCCATCCAAACATCATCGAAGCTGAAGCACTTATAGAGGGGTTTAGGTCTCTTCCTCCTCCTTTCTGGAATCTCCTTAGCTTTTCCATCTGGAGCAAGGCAGGAAAGCCTCCAGGCTTTGCTCTCCAGGGTGGAGCCAGGGCGAGGGGATGGTGGGACCCAGGGGGGCCTCCTTTTGCGATGGGGAACCCATTTCTTATTTGGCCTCTTTTCAGGTGCAGTTTGGCATTGCTGTCTAGACTCCTGTTTTACAAACAGCAGGTGAAAACACAGGGTTTGCTGGACGGAAATGTTGTTTGCTTCAAGTCAGTTTGAACAGAAGATAGCAAAGCACAGTTATCCAGCTCCAGAACTACTCAGAAGAAAACACTTAGGAGGACTCCACCCTGGAGCAGCAGCTCTGTGATCCTTTGAGAGTGCAATATGTACTCCCTTTGCACAGGACAGGGCCCTTTTCACCCTCATTCTAGATGGCATATTACAATAACATTACTACTAGGATTTAGGTCACTCTGTCTGTATAATATTATTTACAAAGACAGATAGTATCTCTGAAAATAGGAAAATGACCTCCTGTCTGTCTCTGCTTTTCTGACTGTACTTCAGTTATATAATGTGAAAAAGGCTTCCTAGATGCCTGCAGGTCTGATATACCAAGCCCTGTGTTTCCTGATGTGCTCTTTACACTATCCATTTTATTTGCTTGATGCTGGGCCAAGAGTAAGGAATTGAACAGCTTTGCCTTTCACTCTCATTGAGTGGTTGCACAAAATTACAGCTTTTACACTAGAACAGCTGGAAAGCAAGTGTGCCCTGAGGCAACCAACGACTATTCCAGGTAGCATCAGTGTTAGAATCGATAATATTTAAGGTGGGAGACACTGACACTGGGGAATGAATGATCAGGAGTCTCTTTTCATGACAAATAAAATGCTCTATCTTGATAGTTGTATCTGTCCAGTTTCCCACAGTTCCTTTGAAGAACCCCAATAAAACCAAACTCCAGGCACTTCCTCTCTATTCTCAACTAACCAACAATTCCAGATCAGTTCTTTTTGCCCCTGGTAAGAGATGCCACAGTCTAGAAACAGTAGATGCTGTGAAAAAGGAAAGTGTTTCCTGCTGATGTTCTGTGCCTAATGCCATCATACTGGAGAGGAGTGAGGAGAATGTGCAAATTCCAAACATGGGACATTTTAGGACAGTTTGCGCTTGCCTGCTGAATAACACAATTATGTAAGTAAAATCATGCCACAAACAGATTAATTAAACATGTAACGAAGTTCCTGACAGATGGGCAAACTGGTAATGGTTCTGTCTTGCTGTTTTCTGCATAAAATCTTTGTCCTGGAGGTAACCTGGAGAATGTTGAGAATGTTAACCACTAGCAGGTACTCAGAGAGGGGCTGCTCTGTGCCCCACCAGGCGAAGAAGAGTTACTTACCAAGGTGGCATCCAGAGGTGTCCAGGACAAGCTGATCCAGTGCAGTTTGGCACAGCACTGTAACACAGATAAAGCCACACCACTGGAAAAAACACCTGGCTGGGGGCTTGGGGAATATGTACAAATCCCCTACTGGAGGGCACACTGGGAAGTGAACTCAAGAACTTCACAATTATGCATTTGTTTTGAAATAAGGTCTTTTCTATGTGGAACAGAAAAGAAATTTTCTCCAAATCCACTGATAAACTTAATTTTATGACCTCTTTACTAAGCAACATACATTGGGAAGGCCATGCTTAGTGCATAGAGGATAATTGTGCTGGGAAGACTTAATACTGTAACTATACTTTGCCCAATGTCTCTGTTGTATTTTCAGGGGTTTCTGAAAAAAACAACTTCAGTTACAAAATCCAGGGTGCAGTTCTACTTCATTTCATGAAAATGGAAGTAAATAAAGCCCTATCTGCTTTACTATAATAGATGTTATGTTTTAAAAGCTGGGACATTTACATTCATTTCCAGGCTCCAGTTACATTTGCCCAATTTCAGATATCATATTTTGCAATCTCCAGAAGAATCAGGAAAATTAAACTGTTTTCATGTGGCTTAGATACCATTTAAATTTTTTATGATTTTCTTTGAATAATTTAATCTAGCAATCAATTAAAGTAATTATTTATTTGCTTCTAATGGTTACATTATAGGATGTGGGCTTGCCTATTCAAGGCTTTACACATGCCACATCTTTCCACTCTTTTCTAGATGTTCTTTTGAGCTATTATTTACAGGTCAGTGATTTTATTCACCCTCTGAGAGGCTTCATCTGTTGACAGCATGTATAGTCCAAGTCTCTTGCTTTTTCCTAGGCTGGTGTAACACTGCAGTGTCTTGTCTGGAATGTTGTGTCCTCTATTAGGTTTGTAGGTTAAGTTGATGCCCACGAAAACAAAAGGTTTTCAAGTAAAGCTGAGCACAGAGGGGAATAAAGTAAATTCTCTTCCCCATTTTCCACCAGCAATTCTGGTACTACAGCCCTCACTTCTCCAACTGCCACCCATACACTTCTTTGGATCAGCTAAAAACCCCAAGCCAGTCAACCAAAACACTTTCACTGGGAATATGTGCAGAGAGGTTGAGGCAATTTAAGCTCATAAGAGGGCACTGGAGGCAATATAAGGGCAGTCACCAACAACTTTATATTTACATGGATGAGGGATCAAACTCCGCTCAGTAATGCTAGACAATGACACAAGGCAGTGGCCAGAAACTGTAGCTTGGAAAGTTCTGGCTGGGCACGAGGAACAAAAAATTCTCCAGGAACATGTTTCCCAGAAAGGTCTTGAAATCATCAGCAGTAGAGGTTTTCAAGACTTGATTAGGCAAAGCCATGGTTTGGTCTATCTGGTGGTGCCATTAGTCGTGTATGCTCCTACCAACCATTTGTCTGTTTGTGTCTACGCAAAAAACAGGGAGCTTCTACAAAAAAAGTAGGGAGAAAGGGTAGGCTAAGATCATTTTGGAGGGTATCAAAACTTTTGTGTACACTGGGATGTGAGAGACAAAAGGCAACAGCAGCAAAAGCTGTGTGAGGGCTCATTTGAGTAGAACACAAGCAGCCCTCAGCAGTTCTAGATTAGTGAACACTCTGGAAATTGTCTGCTCAGGGTATGCAGGAGCTCATACCGTCTCTCAAGCGCCACTTGTGACAATCTGCTCAACAAAATTATTCTCCCATTTCTTAATGACAAAACTCATCAGCAACGAAACTGAAAAAGTAGCAAAAGTAGCATGATCAAGGCATGTCCTGGGATCTCAATGACAGCTCAGTTTCAGTCACTCTGGGGGTTGTGCTTAGCCACTGAAAGAGATTCCTAAGCTCCCAGCCACTTTACAACATGGGAAATCCTCTCTGAGATTAAAAAGCTACCGACAGAGGAAGTGTCTGCTTTTGAAGGCTCCAGCCACTCAAGAGATCCCTTCTGAAGATACAATCTGTTCTGTGAGATCCAGCCTATGCCAAGGATTTCATGTGTTACCTGGATTAGAACACAATACAGTGTGAAAAGGAGACCCTGACTCCATGAGGGTTTTTTTCCGTTTGCTGTGGAAAAGGCAGAAAAGGAATTCTAGCAGCAACCAAAGGGTAGTTAGGGTGACTGCAAAAGACTTATGGGACTTTGAAAGACAGTTACTCATTGTCTAAAGAAAGAAAATTATTTTATTTCTTAAAAACTGACTGCTAGCAATGGGAATTGATTTCTATGTGACTGCTAGCAATGGGAATTTATTTCTATGTGACTGCTAGCAATGGGAATTTATTTCTATGTTACCTTTCATGTTGAGAAACTTATTCACTATATACTAGTTACAAGGCTCAATGCTGCCTTAAGAGGTTATCCCCTCTAACCCAGCAAAAAAAAAAAAAGGAGTTGAACACAGTGTGGTGTCTGTATATTCTGTCTGTGTTATGCATTAGAGCTGCTGTGATTACTCCATTTTAGATTTTTGTGGCAAATCCTCCCCTAAAGAGTGCATCAATTCATATAGTCTTGGACAGAAACAGAAAGGATAAGTAGTGCTACCTGTCTCAGACCAAGAGGAATATTAATGTGCCCATCTAACCAATGTGTTCATTGAGCCATTAAGGAGTTTCACTGGAATTCCTAAGCCATATTAAAGCAAAAGACTGCAAACCACACCACCCTCTGATCATTCCCAGACAACAACTCACCTCATCTTGGAGCATATCACTAATGGAAGAAGCTGTATTTAAGCTGATCTGGGATTGACTGCTTATGCCACTGTCATCCCTTTGGTATTCGGCGTCCAATGACTGCACAGAAAGTAAGAGACTACCTCTGGGTTTCAATGTCTTTGGTCTCTCAGGAGCCTCCAAATTGCTTTCAACTCCAGGACTGTTCCCAAGAGAAATCATCGAAGTGGCACATACTCTTCCAGGATAACGGAAGGTCCTCTGGTGAGAAGTGGATCGCGGACTCTGCGGTTTAGGACTCATGGGCCTACAAGGCATGTCTTTACCATCAGAATTTGAGTGGTGGGGACATGATGGACTTGACTGACTAAATGCCAACTGCAAGTCAGTGGGGCTAAATGGAGATTTCATCCAGTATTCCTCTAGGGAAGTATTTAAACTGTTGCTGAGAACCTCCTGCTGCTCATCACAGTCAGAACTCTGTGAGTATTTAATGCCCAAATCATGGGACTGTACTCGTCTTCTCCACATACCTGCAGGTGAAGAGACATCAACAGGTTCCACAGAGTTGTCAAAATAGTTGGAGCCACTATCTGTTTCTGTTTTAAAAAACGTGTGTCCATTGGAACTACCCTGTCGTTCTACTGGTGTTCTCATCACGTGGCCACCACTTGCACTCAGACCCTCCTGTGTCGGTAATAAACTTGCTAAGACAGGCCTTTTTAGTCCATCTGCCTCCTTGCTTTTTAGAAAAGCTTTCCAGGTGCTCTGGCGAAGTTTGGCTTTCTCCTTTTCATTTTTCAGTGATACTCTCGAACTTTGCTCAGTGTTTTCCTTTTCTGTAGATCTCGACTCAAATAAGCTTGAGAGGGATTTGTGTGCCAAGGCCAACCTTGTCTTGAACTTCTTGCCCTCAGGGGTTTTGTTCCTTTTGTATTCGTTTTCAGGGAATGATTTTCTAATCCCAGAGTGCTCCACAGGTTCACCATCATTGTTTTCAGATGAACCTGAAACATGTCGATCTGCATGTTTGACAGGCCCCAAACAGGGAGAAGTTGAATTCATATCTGTGTCTTCCATCAGTATCCGACCAGAGCCAGAGGCCTTCCTCAGGCTCAATCTGTTGAATAATCCTGGGGGTCTCTCATAGAATAAATCATCATCATCAGAGTACTCTGAAGTGTAACTTTCCTTCCTATGGAAGACTAAACCAGATGGACAGCTTTTCAAAGACAGTAAACTTGCAGTGTCTTCATCATCTTTCCCAGCTTCCAGCTCTTCTGTCTTTGCCTTGCTGCCAAAGAAACTGCTAGTTCCCTGATTTTCTGCTGTGGCAGGCTTAGTTTTCCTGAAAGATGTCATTTTTGAGAATACTAAAAACCTGGAAGCTTTCCCACTATTCTCATTCTTTGTTGGCTTCTGCACCGCTTTATAGAGACTGCTGTTACTTCCCAGGATGTGGGATAAGTTGTCATCCATTTCCTCGCTGTTAGTGCTGCAGGTACTTACATTATCCAGGCCCAGCATGCAAGTGTTATGGATCTCCCTGTTCACAGACTCATCAAAGACATCAGACACATCTAGACTGAGTGCACTGTCTTTGCTGGGGTTAGCAGTGTCTTCTGCAGCAGAGCCCTGCCTTCCTTCCCTAGGAGAAGGTCCTTCACAAATACCTATTTCTTCCCTTGAGCCATTACAGCCTTCATTTCCTTGCCTGCCTACTGCTTGTTCAGAGACAATGCTGGGCCCTTGAAGGTCATCAGCACCATCTCCCGGACACAAACTGCTTACACTGCTGCTCGTTTCCAGTGTAACTCCACTAATTATATATAAGCCTTCCTCTCTGCCTTGATGTGCTTTGAATTCCTCTTCCTTACACACTTGGTCATCTCTTGTTCCAGGCTTTCTGGAGCCTGACTTTCTGAACTGTTCTAATTCAAAAGCAGTCTGTGTTCTGCAGGGCTCTTCCTCAGAGACCTTCACACCACCTGTACTGTGTGATTTTATGAGCACTTCTTCACAGGGACCTGTCTGACTTTCTGCACTAAGTGTATCATTGCTCAGTGGTACAGTAACACTCCTGAATTCCACTTCCTCACTTGTTACTGTGGGATTACTACAGGTGAACCCTAAGGATGAAACTGCATCGTTTTTTTCTCTTTTCTCTTCTGAAACTTCTGGTTCTACTTCAGCTGTATCCCTATCAGGGGGTACCTCTACACTGCCAGGAATGGGATGGGTGGCCAGAATTTGTTCTTTACGGATACAGTTTTCACCAAGAACTCTCTCTGGCTCATCATGAACTTTGTTCACAGTACAAAGAGATATCAAATCCCTCCTCACTACATTTCTCAATCTCTTGGTTACCACTTCAGTAGGAAGGTCATCATTCAGTGTCTTGGACTGTAATCCTTTCTGCTCTACAGAGACTATAATTAGTGCAGGCTTTAACTCTGGAACAGTCATTAGATCCCTCCTCTGGCTTATATAATTTGATCTGGGAGTCCTTTCAACAGCAAAGGTGCTGTCACTGTCTTCATCCTTTCCTTTATGAGTAGGATGTTCATTTGTTACTAGCTCAGAGTCGCTCCTTAAGGTACCAGTTTTGCAACTTGTATTTTGCTTCAGTGGCTCTTCGTGCTCTGTCCCAGTGTCACTGCCACCTGGTTGTACTGTGGTTTCCAGGAATTTCCAACCAAAGTCAAGATTAGAAGAATGATCTGCCCATCTTTCCCCTGCCACAATCGTCATACCTGACAGTTCTGATTCAAGGCCATTCTCCTTCAAACATTTTTGGTCTATTCCACTATTGGAAACACAGTTTACAGAGTAATCCCAATCTCTGTTTTCCACAACAGCAGGAAAACTTACATGAGAAGCTGCAAGGTTCTCAGTGCCACCAGTGCCCAATTCAACATCAGCATCACAGGGGAATCTGCCTGCTTCCAGAGCTCTTTCAGCTTTGTACTCATCACTTTTTATGAGTTCTTCAGCGTTTATGGTCACTGGCTCACAGTCCAGGGCAGAGGAAGTCTGCTTTTGTTTGGGGCTGCACTCACAAGCATCACCCTGTGTTAAGCTGTCAGCACAGGTACCAACTGGCTCTGGGTTCAGGCCACATGTCTCTGATTTAGAGCGCAAATAATAATCAATGCACTGGGGAGAGCCTGCTGGTTGAGAAACCTGACACTCCTTTGAGTTCGTGTCAGTATCAAGAAGAGATCTTTTTATGCCAAACTGGCCCTCTATTTTTATTGCTGGCTCAGGGCTTACAGGTACCCTTCCTAAGTTTTTCCAAGTGCATTCAAAATCCAACCCTTGAAGATGTATTCTGGAACATGACCATCTGAATTTGTTTGTAAGGTGAATGCAGCTCCCCACATATTCTGTCTGGCTTTGAACACTGATGTTTTCAGGTACACTGTGCCATGTTTTACTTTCTGTAATCTCTGACCTTGTGTGTGGTGGCCGAGATTTTGGTTTGAAGCCACTCTGGTAAAAGAGTGAATCTGATGTCAACATAGTCTCTGTACGTCCATGTTTTATCCTTTTGCCTGTAGTTTCCTCACTGTCAGCTGAATTCCTCCTGCTGCATTTTATACTGGACATAGAATCTAACTCACACTTATAGTCAGATGTCTCAGTGTAACTTTTAGAGTTAGGTCCATTCGTTTCAAAATGAAGATTAGGCAAACTACAGCTAGACACTGCATCTGACTGGAAGGAAAATTGCTGTACCTCAGGAAAAATCAAACAATTTTCTGAGTTTGCTTTGAAACAGTCAATGCTTAATACTGCAGGATGTTCCCTCTCTCTTGTAACATCATCTTCTGTAGGTACTGGGTTGGTACAGGATTGCACTTTAAAGCTTTCTAACTCTGCTTTATTTTGCAATGCTGCCACAGAACTTCTCTTTGCCTGTGATACAATGCCCTCTTCATGGAATTTGTTCTCTGCGATAGAAATATCACTAAAGACTGTCTGTTCTTCATCACCCAGTTCTTCACCTTCTGCCCTTGCTGACTGTACACAAAATTCAGTCTTGCTTGGTGCTGCTTTTATTTTGTAGGACAATCCGAACTGTATGTGCCGGGTGAATTCTGGCTGCCTGGAGCACTTCAGTCCGTGGAAGGTTGTTTCTGCCCTTTCTTTGGGAAAATTACAGCCCAGGGGTTTTTTTTCAGTGAACAGGCAGTTTGAATCCAAGCAAGTGTTCCCAGCTATGTCACTAGAAAGAGATTCTGTATCTGATGCACTCTCGTAAGGCTCAGTTTTTACATCTGACAAAGATCCACTCTGATGTGACACGGTCTCAAAATAATCTTCATCTGTTTCTTGGCTGGATCCACGTACCTCCAGCTCTGTTGTGCTTGGGGTAGAAGTACTCAGATCGTCCTCAAACTCTCCTTCACTGATGTAGTTTTCAACTGGCTGTGGGGTCTGTGAATAAACAGAAAGGAATGCTTTAGCAATGATTTCCCATAGCAGCAGGGCAACATGAATTATTATTAGAAAAGGGACTTTGGAACAAAATTAATTTAATACACACTGATGTCTTTGAAAGTTTTACTTGATGTTTTACTTATTGATGGTCCTGAGGTCTTGGTCTTTCTATTTCTTACTCTTCTTTTCCTTTAATGGTTCTTAAATAATCTTTTTTTATTTCATATGCAATTATACAGAAGCCAAAATTTTACTTTTGGCCATATCTTTCATAGCCCATTACCAAAACACATTTCACATTCAAATACATCAAATGAAGATCATCCCTTGACAGTAGATCTAAAAACTCTAATGAACCCATCTTCAAATTCGAGGAGGAGGTTTATGTGGAAAACCTGAGAAGTAATTGTTAGTGTATGCATTAGAGAAATCTGGTATAAAAATATGCAGAAACTGCACCTGAGTAACCAGATATTACCCATACCAAAGCCTGACCCAGAGGTGAAAGAAGCCTTAGATCTCACTTTCCAGAAGGTTTATACCAGGAGCACTACATGTATGAGTTATCAGAGCACATCCGAATCAGTGGCTCAGAGCAGAAAGATCAAACTGTCAATATTAGGAAATGTCTTTGTCCCAGACAGCTACACTGGGAGAGCCTCAGCCTTCTTTTCTTCAACCATCAGAAAGTTGTCTGGATGTTTCTTAGGATTGAAGCAGATAATGAAATCACAGCAGGCTTTCAGGAGGTAAAAATAGTACTTGCTGTCTGTCATCTTCACATTCCACTATTGTCAGAAGTTCTACAAATGTACACAACAAAGATATTTAGCTGATTCCAGCTTCAGTCCATTAATATCTAGAATGAGATGCCACATAAGTATAAATGGCAGCCTTTAACCCTAATTCTGGATGCTTCTTTAACCAGGTTTTGGTAACATTCCTCACAAGAATCATTGGCACATTTTAAAATCTGAAAACTGAGATAACAAACAATGAAAGACTTTTCTAAAAAACAAACAAACCAAAAACCACCACAAGTGAATGGCAGCCATCAAACTAGAACACAAGATCCTTCAGCCTGACTTGCACATCAGGGTGCTTTGTCACAGAGGAAGTGTGAGTCCTCATGTGGGAAGCCAAATTCCAAATCACATCAAAAGATATGTCACAGAGTTTCTGATTCTAGGCACCAAAACATAGAGGGTAAATTGGAAAAGGGAAGGCACAAGAGTTATTTCCAAATGGGATCTCAATAAGAAGACTGGTATTTTCTCTTGACAGAAGAAGGAAAATACAAATTGAATGGAGGAGGGAAGGGGGAGAATTTAGTGCTTTAAGCCAAGTCCAAAAATCACTTTCACACCATAAACCTGACCAAATTGCACGAGTCACATAACCAGCAGAGCAATATGTCCATTACTGTGTGCAATCAGTGACACATGTAATTGAGTTCCTTTAATAATGTGAAATCCCACTATCACCAGGACAGAAATGACCAGCACAGAGCAGCATTTCACATGGTGACAGCACAGCACAGAATGTGAGCGTTGGCTCTCACAGCAGTGACTGCAGCAGCTGCTCACAGTGACAGCACTGCCTCCACAACACTGTTCTGAACACAGATTTACAGATGGCCATAAACTGAGATAAAAACTGTTCAGGCAAGGAGGAACAAAGTAATGAAGATGACTGACTGTCCTCAAGGATGATTATGAATTAAATTACTAAAAAAATTGGGGCAGAAATCCCTTAAAGCCCATCTATCATTCCAAACATACCTATGTCAAAATATTCATACTGTGAGCCCTCCCAAATTCATTATTCATTTTTAATGGGTATTACACAAAATTTTGCATTTAAAGCAGAAGCATAGGCCCCACAATTGCCTCCATAACTTGTGGGGAATGAGGAAACAGCTTCTAGGTAAGAAGGGCACCAGTTAGTGTCAACCAGTACTCCTGGACCAGGCCAAAGACTGAATATGTGCCCCAGTACTGCTGAAGGGAAGAGTCACTGCCAGGATCAGCCTGGGGCCACCTCTGCCAGCTGTGCCCTGGGATGGAGTTCCCTTGAGGAGGGAGAGGATGTGGAAGCTTCAGTTCCCATCAAGTTTAGCAAAGTCCTCTGCCTAACAGACAGGGGAGGCCTAGAGCCGACCTCTAGTAAACCTGACATTCATGAGCTCACTAAACTTCCCATGGTGACCAGGGAAGAAACCCTAACAGGGCAAACAACAGGCAGATGGTGCCATTTGTACCTTCTTCCACGGGTCTTTGACTTCTCAGCATCTCCAGGAGGCCAGGCCTTTGCTCTGACCATGTGCTCTGTCATATATGGTTTTATTTTCTCCCAACCTGTAGTGTGTGTTTTGTTAGGGTTTCTGCAACTGCTTCTCATGATGTTTTACTGGGGGGTTAAGGACTCACTCAGAGTATAAGGGGAAAGTTTACAATGGGCTCTGATGCAGCCCTGTGATCCCAACACAGACAATCACAGGCTCAGGAACTGAGCAGATGTGTGGCAGTGATTCTCAACTAGGCTTCTGATTAGACAACAGTTCCCATGCCTTTAATTTCCATAAGATTGCACTGAGAATTTCAAAAGACAAATGACAGCTTTTTCCTGGGAAGAGTTCTTGAGAAAACCCTCAGTATCCGTGGACAGAGTTGTGTGCCTATACATCTCAATCTCAGAGCAGATAAACAGTTGGAAGAAAGGGTTTGAAATAAATACGAGAAACAACTACCAAAGTAAGGCTTTTGCACTTCACAGACAATAGAAAAATAACAGCAAAGCTGCCCATGCCTGCTTTTCTCTTGCATCTCTTTCACCAACTCTGAAATGTGCCAAGAAAACAGGATGAAGCTGAAATTACTGATCTGTCCTATTATCATTGCATGCAGCCATGTATTATCATAACCTAAAGTCACCAGAAAAATGAGACTTATAACTTTGTTGTGTGGAGATCTCTATCTCCATAACATAAGATGCCTTCCATCCAAGTTACTCTCATATGTGACATCTGCTCCCACGGGCTCAGTGCTCCTGTCTTGTGAACACTTCTAATTTGGTGGAGAAGTCATGTATCATTTTTTCTCTAAATCAGATTTGGTATTTGAATAATTTTCTCACACAATATTATATTGTGCCAATTGTAAGTTTTGTATTGTATCTCCCTAATTTTCTCTGCCTAACAACTAGCAGGATATGTTAAACAGACAATTGTTTTACTTCAACTAGTCTTTTAATTAAGGATTTTATCCTTAAATCTCACAACCACAAAAAAGAATCTGACCATTTATATGATCTTTGCTTTTACTTTGAATGCAAGTTCCCCAAGCAAGCCTAACTTGCTTTCCCACTAACTTGTGCCTGACTTTAGTTATTACCTCATTTCCAGTTCAAGGAACATCACAGAACAGTTCTTCCCTGAACTCAAGACAACATGAAAGCATTTTCAGTTGATATTTCAAAGGATTCAGACAACTGTTTTCTCCATAGGTGGTGTTGACAACATCGAAATCTTGAGTTGTTATCAGTATACATTTCATGACTCTCCCTTCATACCTTGTCTGACCGAAAGGCACAGTGCAGTATCTTTGATTTGCAGTGTAATGAGACTAAATGAGAGCAGTTCCCATGAACACAGGTGAGAACAAGCCAGCCATCCTCTCTGCTCAGTGGGCCTCAGCCCTGCTCATGAGGTAAAGGAAATGTGCAGTTCCCAGGGCAGGCATCACTTACAAAGGGTCTCATCCTGCAGAGCGCTGTGTGCTCTGCACTCCTGCTGATGCAGGTACAGGTGAGCTCAGGACACTCAGGATTTGGCTGTGCCTACTTCAGTACTTCAGTACTCCTGGTGGGGTTATCTACATGCTCTCTCTCCATCACTGTCTTTGAGAAGGGCAACACTAATATAGCCAGTTAAAAAGAGTGGGGAGAGAGAAAGATAGATGAAGCTAGTGGGTAAAACTGGCCCTTTCACTGGCAATATAGGCTGTTAATAGAGCTGCTTCAGGCTCCCTTTGTAGTGTCATCTAGGGTTATTTGTATTGGTTTAACTTGTGTCCTATATATTTTAAAAATAAGCTGAGTGGAATTGCTGAGTCTCTAAAGCTCCTCATTGCTTTCTCACAGAGAGTGACTGGGTATGAAATTCTGAAATTCTCATGACAGCTAAATGGAAAATATTTGAGGCAGTCTAACATGGTAGCATGAAACTCATCCACCCTCAGTGTAATGAGAGCTGTGAAAAGCTGAGCTTTCTTCTACAACCAAGTAGGGTCTTAGGTTGCCAAAATAGCTTTGAAAAATACTGGTTGTGAAACTGTCATTGTTGTCATTATGGATATCCTGAGTTGAGGGTACAGAGGAAAAACCAAAGGTGTGTTCAGTCACAGGACAGAAACAGCATTCAAAATACCCAGTTTATCCTTTTGTGCCTCTGATACACCTCTGCTCATAGAGGTACAGCCTTGGAGAGAGAGAGAGGAATATGGCCTCCAGGCTTTGGTCTCTCCAATTGGGCTGGCAGAGGTTGCCCAAGGTAATGTCACTTCTAGAAACTTGGATGGTTGCCAGGTTGGAAATGCCTGGAAAGATCTAAGACCGCCAAGCCTTTCCAGAAGAACTGCCACAGAAATGGCTTTTCACAAACTAAGTTATGTTCTTGGATTTAAAGCAAACACAGTACAAAAAGTGTTCCTCTTCACAGAAACTTCTGTCACAGGGTTCAGAAGTGGTTCATGGCAATGATGGAGCACAGCTGCCATCCCAGGGAACCAGTCACGCTACCTCAATCACCACAGAGCTATAAAGAAAAAGCCCTTCAAACACATTTGTGGAAAAGATATAGACTCAGAATTAATGGTCTCAATTTACCTACACTTTTCCATGCTTAAATAAATGCAAAGCCTGAAATCCTTAAAGCAAATTAGATGCCAGTCAGGGGTTGGATTATACATGCAATAAAGAGGCATAGGCCTGGCTCAAGG